ATCAGTGTGTTACCAACATTCTTCTCATACTGAACCCAAAACATTACACTATACCAGATACTAGAAAGAAAATTACCTCTATCCCAGCTGGAACTAGGGCAACTGTTTTCTGTGGGAGCAGGGGAGAGACTGTAGGTGTTTTCTACACAGCTATTTCCTGTTTAGGCTTCGTTGTATACAGCTACAGCTGGTGGATTGGTTTTCTGGTAAGTTTTACTCACTTTGCAAGTTGCAGGCTGATTGTCTATGCTGAGAGTCACTAAAGAGAATTAGATTTTTAACTTGGCTCAGTGATTTTTGAAAAATGTCTAGGGAATGCAAGACTGGTATGAAATGATGCAGCTGGCATGAATGCAGTGATGATGTACTAAAAAATGCGTATAGTGACTAATGATTTCTGATAAGAAATTCTAGGCCTAGAACTCTTCCTGTAGGAAGAGTGTCATCAAATACAGTTAAAAAGACGTCACTTCCACATCCTTCTTCATGCTATCTTAGCATCCATGGAGACTCTATCGGCATTCCAGTGCTGGGAACAGAACTGACAGGGGTGCATGAAATAGAATTTGGTCAAAAAAAGTCAAAGTATGCTTTTCTACCCGTTGACAAGGTATCTGTAATATTATAGTTGATTCTATCATCTCTTCTTCATCCATGAGCTGATTTCATCCAAGGGCTACAGTAACTTCAGAGGTCTTCTGTTCTTGTCTGCACAGCAGTCTGGAATGTATTATATTCATGTTCCTGATACCAAAGACCATTTTATAGAACTGATACGTATTCCACTTTGTATTAGTATTAGTATTATTAGTATAGATTAGCAAGGCACCTTACTGGATAAACAGAATTCAGGCACTCCAGGAACTGCTGGATTAGATGCTCTATATGTAATGTAATAAAATATTGTGACAAATTCAGTTTTAACCAATATTAGAAAATAAATAGCTGAGCATAATTCAAAGACTGTGTTTGTTATGTTAGTAAGATTTTCTGGAATCAGAATGACAAAGCCTTTAAACTGTACTCTTTACCATTGACATAGCATTATAGAACTCATATGCTACAGTTCTAGCTTTTAACATGAACAGATTCACATATAAAAAATTTTAAACATTATGACATTACTTTATACTATGCATCATTATAATATGCCCTGCAGCACCACCAAACAACTGTATCAAATAATCTGTATTTTTTTTTCTTTTGAACCTAAAGATTAATGCATTTACACAGCTCTCAGTTTTAAATTAGGGGCAAAAAGATAAATAAGTATTTCTCTCAATCGAATGCAAAAATTGCTTCATGTATCTTACGGCTTCATAAAACTAGCAAGGGATTTAATATAACCAGATGAATTGTACATTATTGCTGCTCTGCTACACTTAGATACAAATTGAATTTAAATTATATCTTTTTTAGTTCAATTAACAAAAGTGTTGCTTTCATGATGTTTGTTTCCACTTGGTTCATTGCTCTTCTGTTCCAAAGAATGAATGAACCCTAAAAGAATTATTTCCCATGGAATTATAATCTTTTATTATAAACCAAATAGTTAGTTGGTAAAGCCTAATAATTATGTTGATTCTTTCTGTAGGGATATTTAAACTTTGGAAATGAAGCACTGTTATGTGTATGTAAAAATAAAACATTGGTTACATTTCAGATGAATTATCAAGTTTCTCTCTTAAGGATTAATTTAAACTCATCTCTCATTTAAATATTTGTGCTTTTGCTTTAAATTAAATTTTCCTACACTCATATTACATTTAATGGAATGCATTACTCTTTCACTTTCTGGAATCTAGTTAAGTTAAATATGTTTCCTTTATCCCTCTGTTTTTGTTAATAAACTCTTCATTTTGTATCTCTGTATATTACATACAAGTTACTTTTAACATCAGAGGCTTCTTAATGACTTTTTCATGATTAACTGGTAAGTTATTTTATACATAATGCTCTTTATAGCTTTTGAGTTCACCTGTGAAAGTAATTCAAATGACTAAGTTCAGCAGGAAATGGTTTTAACTGTATATGGAAACATTCTTTAAATATTTTGCTTGAGATTATAAGTACAACATTCTGTACTTCCAGTGGAAATGTGTCTGAAAAAAACCTACACATGAATACCTAAAATAAGAAAGAAAATATGAACCCAAATTAAAATACAACTTCTAATCTTTGATGAAAATATCACGTAATTTCACAGGCCTTTTTTACGCTGTATGGAAGATTGGAATTAAGCATAACAAGATTAGTTATCTTAGCTAGTTATGCCACTGAACTGTAAAAAAAGATCATAAAGTTAGAGCATACTGTTATCCAGACTTGCAATACTTTGATTCTATAGGGAACATTTAGGGGTTTTTTTTCACTTTCCTTGGGGAGGGAAAAAACACTCTATCTCTTTCTCTCTCCCCCACCCCCCTCCCCACCAGGAACTACTTTCTGTAAAGAAAGAAAATATATTTGTCAAGTTGTTGGAAGTAATCAGAAAACAATATTAAAGTTTTGACACTTCTAGAAAAAAAAAAAAAACAAACACCACAGCCAATGCCAATTTTGTATACATTTTGTATACATTATCCTATTATTATGTCTCATCAGGTGCTACAACTATTGAAAAGTATGATCTCAGAACAAATATATGGATTCAGGCTGGAGTGATGAATGGCAGGAGGCTTCAGTTTGGTGTTGCTGTCATCGATGACAAGCTGTTTGTCATTGGAGGCCGGGATGGTTTAAAGACATTAAACACTGTTGAATGTTACAATCCAAAGACCAAGGCTTGGACTGTGTTACCACCAATGTCAACACATAGGCATGGCTTAGGTAAGAAAAAAAAATGTTTTAAAAAGATACCACATTTTTCGGATATGTAATTTGTAATGGAAAATTCAGTACTTTTAAGCCATCGTAGCTCTCTGAACAGTAGCAATAACTGATTACATTGTTCTTGTTAGATCACTAAGAATATGTAAAACGTTAAAGAACATTTCTATTATTTACCAAAATAACACTGGGGGAAAAAAAACGAAAAACCAAATAAAAGGCAGAGGAACAGGGAAAGAAACCCTGAAACTTACACAGGTTAGTGAGAAAATTCAGGTTCGTATGCACTGATTTTGAAAAAGGACATCTTAATTTATCAAACAATCAAGGTATTATTTCTTTTTAATCACAGCATTTTGTGTTTTCATTTATCCAGTGTGATAGGAAATAAAGTCTTTAAACACTGTCAGTGATGGACTGAGGTACTTTACAAAGTATTTGTAGCAAGTTTTATCATGACTGAGAGCATATTTTCCCATAGCCTGTTTTCAGATAAGTTGTTTTTTGCTTTCATTTGGCTTTTTAATGGTATTATCCATACCACTGTCAGCATTAATCAAGCCACATTGTATCCCTGTTCTCTACTCAAAGAAATATACATTTGGTGGGGTTTTTAAATTATTTTTTAAATTAAGCAAAAGACAGTTGTATTGTTTCCTTGAAAAAAAAAAGTAGTCTTTCTATTATGTATATCATGCATATAAAGTAGAATAAAAGCTCTAATTTATTCAGTTACATAAGTAATTTTGTGATGTTTCAAAAATATCCTTTTTTATTCCTAACTGTATAGTGATGAGATTTTCTTGCTTAAATAAAGGAGTTTAGAATCTATACGACATACCCACCAGAATATAACTTTTATAAGGTATAGAAAACTGCACTGTTCATTATCTCTTCTGCTAAAATCACTTGTTGTGATAAAATCATTACAATGTCATGAAAAACAGAAATGGAAAAGATATGCTAGGTTTTCATGTCCATTCCCCTGAGTTACAATCAGCAGCAAGTCCTTTAATGTACTGCTGTGTCAATACCTCACAAAATGAAGGTGCCTTTCCCCCCCCCCCCATTTGACACTTGTATCATAATATGCATTGGTGCAGTGGCTGGCATAATGCATTTTTGCTATTAAATATATTGTACAATAAAAAGTAGTGATGGGATTCTATGTCAAATGACATCATGACACTAAATAGCTCTGTGATTTAAAATTGTTTCCTAAGTTTAAATTTAATTACAATGCTGCAGAAATACATGTAATGTTTTTTTACCAGTGTTCCAGAATTTTACAGAATCTGTTATTAGTTTCAGTGCTGTTCCCAAGGGTGGTAAAAATGCAACAACTTCAGCTATAACACAGGAAATTATTAATAAAACATTAGGGAATGCTTGGTAGAGAAAAAACTTTTCCCAGTGACAAGAGATGGAGCCATGATCAAAAACCATTTGTGATCAGTTCAAAAAAGATGTATCATTTTGGACTGATAATTCTACAGATGCTTTTGGTCAATAGATTTAAAAAATACCTTTATAGTTTAAGTAAAGCTGTTCAGGAATGTTGAGGTTATGACTGGAGAAAAACTGGTATGTTTTCTACAGGAGAAAAAAGGCAACACACAAAGCATTTGACCAATTGAGGGAGTTTTGTGTTTGTGTGGAATCACTTTTTAATTTTTGTATTGCAGAAATTTGGGCTTTTTGTAAACATGTAAAATCAGGAAAAGTAGAAACTGGGATTTTATTGGTGATGATGAAAATGATTAAATGAAGTTGTTTGGGAAGCAGTAGATATGTGCTCTTTTTTTTTATTTGGAATTGTGTAAGAGTCGTATTATTCCTGAGAAGCTTAGCTAATAGAATTGAATTGCTTTTTTCATTTGAATATTTTTTTCCAGGCATCTCATAAGGTTATTATTTTAGTAAATGCCCTTTGTAATGAGAAATTAATCGGCAGTAAGAAATCTTTTTTTCATTTGTTTTCTAAAATATATGTTACGTTATATCCATGTAGTGATAACACTAGAGCTGCTTGAAATGGATTTTGTATACAAGATCAGAAATAAGCACCCATCCTTTAGACTGATGTCTTTTTGTTGACATCAGCAAAAAAAATTCAGATCTACCTTATTGTAACTGAAGTCACAGCCAGGCAATACAGTTTATTCTGCCTTCATATAATCTTCAATAGAACTATGGGTGTAGAAGTTGATATATGTAGAAATGAGAAAATGAAAACTGACCGGTCTTGTAGTGAAAGTACATAGTGTAGGAAGTCATATGTTAGGCAGTTTCAGCACTGTCAATTGAAGATGAGTGGAAGCTATGGTAGTGGTAGTCTTTGGAATAAGTGATGCTAAAGTACAAAAAAGAAAAGGTAGAATGTGGGATCCAAAACTATTATTTCAAATAACAGTGATTCTAATATCCCTGTCAAGTAGGCCATAAACCAGTAGGGAATATGAAAGAGTAATAAGAAGCCAGAAAGGCAATGAAAAGCACAAATGAAATATGCAGAAGGTGAAACCTGAGAAACAGAAAGACAAAATCAAAACCGATATAGGGAGGGCAGAAATAGACTGAAAGAACCAATAGGGAAAAAATGTAAAACAGATCGTGGATTATAAATTCAGCACAGGAATGGGGAAAGTGGGTGCAGAATTGCTTCACAAAAAGACTTCATAGGCTACATAGAGGAGGAGGAGAGAGAGGAAATAGGGAATCAGTGATAGACTAATTTAAACTTTAGATATCAAATCCAGTGGCACCATGGTTTAAAAAAGAAAGCCACAATATGGAACAAAAGATTGATACTCAGTTTGTCTTTCCAAAGTAAACAATTTAAGTGCCTTAGTGAGAAAATTAACCTTCCAGTATAATTAAGGGAGAAGGGCAGCCTTTTCAGGTAGGTGTCCCAAACTGTCTTACCATTTCCATGAGCTATGTAAAGAGTGTCTAAGCTCCTATTTTAAGCTAGATTTACACATTTGTTAAACCTAGAGTTGAGCTTTGGGTTTTGGCTTTGCAAATATACTGATCTCACTATCCATAGTCAAACATGCATTTGCAAGATGATCAGCATGGGAAGAAGGATAACAGGGCATGGTATTACCTAACAAACTCCTGTGCAGCCTTGAGTGCAGGCAGGTTACATATTCTTCCTCCTCTCCTCTTGGAAGAGAGAATTTTGCCAGTTGGAATTTTCTGAGTGCAAATGCTATAAATGCTATAAAAATATTCATTGCTGATGGGAAAGCCTTAAATTTATTTATATAGCATATAGGCCTAGGGTAGATAGAATTCACTCTACCCAGAGTGAATGGTCATCGAATCATAGAATCATTAGGTTGGAAAAGACCTTCAAGATCACTGAGTCCAACCATCAATAATGCCCACTAAACCATGTCCTGAAGTACCCCGTCCACTCGCTTTTTTAATATCTCCAAGGATGGTGACTCAACCACTTCCCTGGGCAGCCCATTCCAATGTTTGACAACCCTCTCAGTAAAAAAATTTTTCCTAATATCTAACCTAAATCTCCCTTGCCTCAACTTGAGGACCTAAAGAGTTTCCGAGTCTCAGTTTACAGAATGGGTTATGGTTTCAACACATCATTCTGGACCAGCTAAATATGTAATGTAAAAGTATTATTAAGGACCTGAGGGGTATGCTTAAAGTTAGACAGAGTGAATACCTGCCTCTAATGTGATTCTCGTGAAACTCATATGTGCAATAATGAATATCTAAAAGACTAAGCTCAAGAATCAGAAGTGGAAAGAAAATACCAGAAGTTAGGCAGTTGTAGGATAAAATATCCCTGAATATTTTTGATGTTGGTAACAAAAACATCAAATGGCATTATACGTTTGCACAAAGGTCTATTTCTATATTTCACTAAATGAGAATGACCCACCCTGCTTCTTAGACCCAGCTTGATTTTCAACTTCAGTGCTTACTGCTCTAGAATCCAACACACAAGGCAGAGGGAAGGAAAAAAAAGATTAGCTGAGAAAAAACCAGGGATAGCTCTGTAATTGTTAAGTAGTAATGAGAAATGTTAACGGAGGAAAAGATTGTGGAGAAACTGAAGTGTCAGTCAAAAAGCTGGTACGTTACATAACAAAGGGAATACGTAAAATCTGAGCTAACAAATCAAAAATAAGATAGGACTTTCTATTTATTTTGGCCAAAATCAAAGACATGATTACCCTCTTTTTGATCCATAAATAATAATGGTACATAAATACATATATATGCATAGCAATTTATATACATACATGATACATGTGTGTATATACATGTATATATTTCCATATATGTCATATATATATCATGATGTACCTGTGCATATGTGTGTGTATATATATATATACACACACACATATCTGGTTAGTCTAAACTTATTGCATCTTTTTTCTGTGTACATTGTGATTCATAGCACTGTCAGTGTTTTTGTCCGTAATATAGAACTGGTAGCATTTTTCAGCTTGTAAGTTCTAAACTACCCTCGACTTCATCATAAAGTAAATTAAACCAGTTTACCTGCATTAGAAGCATTCATTTATATCCAATTCTGTGAGCCTGTAGAAAAGCTGGGGGTCTTTTCCTTGCATTGTCAGCAGTTATAATGTATGCAATGTCCAAGTGTTTAACTGATAGCTGAATTCCAAATGCAGCTGAATACTTAAACCATTACATTCCTGAAATTGATAATAGGGAGGTTTGAATGCTTATTGAATAATTCATTTCTCTTAGTAATTTTACTTTACATAGAAGACCTTTTTTGAAATAATACAAAAGCTTTTTGCCTGTACCAATGTGGATGAACGGAGCAAATGCATCAAGTGTAGTTGCAGAATCTTGACTGAATGTTTTAATTTTTCTTTGAAACACAGAAGAAAACACTCATAACTCCTTTTTAGCCAAATGAGACAGAATATTCTTAGCCAGTCCAGTATAGTCCTATGTAGTTGCAATTGTTTAGGTAGAAGAAACAAAATGGT